TCTTTTCTTTCTCCCTCCAAAATCTCTTACTTCCCTCGTCTGAAGGGAGGGAGAGAGAACGAGGTATCGAGATGGATATCAAGAGATGCAGATCGAGGGATCGAGAGATCGGGATCGATCAAGAGATGGAGATCCAGACCGAGGTCAGGATGGCGAGATCGAGGTCCAACAATAGATCGCCACAGAGATCGAGATTCAGAGCGAGGTCCAAGATCTATTGAGAGAGTTTGTGATCTACCTATCGGATCGGTCAATCGAGATGGAGATGGAGATCCAGATCGATCGATCGAGATCAAGATCCGTCTCTCGAGATCGAGACTGTGCGAGTGCGCACGCGCGCTTATGCGCTTGCGTTTGCGTGCGCCCGAGAGAGAGAGAGAGAGAGAGAGAGAGAGAGAGAGAGAGAGAGAGAGAGAGAGAGAGAGAGAGAGAGAGAGAAAGCGCATGCGCTACGGTCTTTCCCCAAACACAACGCACCCTGACAGCAAATTTGTACAAGCCATCTTTCCGGTCTCGTACCACAAAAATGATGGTCCGTCTTGTTCGGGGAAGCGCGAGGGGAGAAGGGGGCGGGTGGAAAAGAGAGAGAGAGAGAGAGAGAGAGAGAGAGAGAGAGAGAGAGAGAGAGAGAGAGAGAGAGAGAGAGAGAGAGAAGCTCGCTCTATCTTCATTTAGTATGTATAAAATAAATGGCGCTTGTGCTGTAGCTCTGCGTGTGTTTGCATTCCTCCCTTCATTATTTTTTTTTAAGGTCATGTAACTAATAAAATTTAGATCACATATTTCCGCACTCTGTGCCACTCTTATGATGACCTGTTCTTTTGATCATTTTAGCCTCGTATATTACAGTACTGAGCGAGATTTTGAACGTTTGATTGGTTCGTAAATAATGGACCTGTTCTTTTGATCGTTTTAGCCTCGTATATTACAGTACTGAGCGAGATTTTGAGCGTTTGATTGATTCGTAAATAGTACTGAGCGAGATTTTGAGCGTTTGATTGATTCGTAAATATCATTATTTACGAATCAATCAAACGCTCAAAATCTCGCTCAGTACTGTAATATACGAGGCTTACGAACCAATCAAGCGTTCAAAATCTCGCTCAGTACAGTAATATACGAGGCTAAAATGATCAAAATAACAGGTCATAAGTAAAGTGGCACAGAGTGCGGAAATATGTGATCTAAATTTTATGATAGGGACCTGATACATGATCGCTTGACTTTGCCAACGCCAGCTAATAGATTCCGTGGGACTCAAGGCAACGTCAATTCCGAATTTCGGTCTCCTACGATGGGCATGGCAGTGTGGAGGGGGAGGGGGAGGTGGAGGGGCAGGGGGAGGCGAGATCTATGTATCGCCTGCATCCCTCCTGGCAGGAGTGAGCTGCCTCAAGGGAAAGAGGGTCAGCGGACTTGAATGAGGCGTCGGGTGAAGGGAGGGGTGGGGAGGGGAGGGAAGGGGAGGGAAGGGGAGGGGAGGGGAGCGGAAGGGAGCGGAGCGGAAGGGAGCGGAGCGGAAGGGAGCGGAGGGATGTGGGAACAGGACGGGTTGACACTCGCTCCGCTGCGTCGATCGCATCACCAGATCGAACCCAGTCGAACCGAAGGGGATCGGATGTCAAAGTGGGCAGAACTATCGCAGAACCATCGCAGAACTATCAGAGAACTCTCTGTGAGGTCGAAAGAGAGCATTAAATCATGAATGGGAGAACCACAGTTGTCCCCTGAACTCATGACTGTATTTAACCGCAAAGATGGGTCGTATACATAAGTGAGTGGGTGTGTCGTGTTCGGGGGAAGAGGGTGGCAGCCAGCTGCGTCATGGCGGGAATGGACTTTAATTTAAAAAAAAAGAAAAAAAGAAAAAAAAAAACTTTGTTTTATTCCTTAAAAACAGAGATAAGATTCACGAATCTCCTCAAATCTAATCCCTGTCGGATTGGATATGACGTCAGCCCTCGCTCCACTACATATCATTCATTCGAAATGTATCTGGACCTGATATAGTCCGTGTACATTCTTGATGTTCGAAAGTCAGAACGTAGCTGCTCCTCATCTTATCCAATGCTGGGCAGTGGAGAGAGCCCCCCACATCAGAAGATTTTTTTTTTTTTTTTTGGCACATCAGGAGATTTCCAAATAATCTAACACTGTAAGAAAAAAAACGGACGAGAGTGTTTTTTTTTTTTTTTTTTTTTTTTTTTTTGGAGAAGAGTTATTTAAACTGTCGTCGAACTGTAAGTCAAGCGATCATGTATCAGGTCCCAATCATGGGTACGGTGCAGAGCCAACGAGTCATTCTTACACTACAGAGGATTCTGTCTCCCGAACGATTGCTCTCTATGCTGCCTTTGAACCGCTACCCGGATTCACCCGAATAGAACGCCCGGTCGTTATCGCCGCATCTGGACCGAAGGTTGTGCTAAATACAGCTATGATGACCGGGCGCTCTATTCGGATGAAGACGATAGTACACGGCCCCAGCCTTGCAGAAAGTTTTTGTCGCCACAAGCAAAACTCGGAGGCCCCCTTGAAAAAAAAAAATCGGCGGCCCACACCACTTCGGATGAAGACTGTGCACAAAAATCGGAGTTTTTGTCTTCCACTACCCACGATTGCTTCGTATTCATCTGCGAATTAACTCGCAGTTCAATCTTCAAAAGAGGCCGCTGCACCTGCCATTGATCTCTGGAGCGGATTAATCCGCTGCTGAATTCAAAAGCCTTTTTTTTTTTTTTTTTTTTGGTGCCAGGAACCAGATTTTTATTTTTTTATGTAAAAAAGCTGCCTTCTCCTCATATATTTTTCTCTCACCTCAAAGAAAGATATGTCCCATATGTTCCATGACATGGCAGCACGCCAGATTTTTTTTTTCTTTTTTTTTTTTTTTTTTTTTACAAGTAAACTCTGAGCACGCCAGATTTGAACTGAGCTGAATTCAATTGCGAATTAATTCGCAGTTAAATTTTCAACAGAGGGCCTGAAATCGAGGCCCTCTAATGAAGTCAATAGCGGATTAACTCGCAATTGAATCGAATAGCGTACAACAAGTGTGAACCCTTTTTTTTTTTTTTTTTTTTTTTTTTTTTTTTTTNTTTTTTTTTTTTTTTAAAAACACACCCCTCTGCAATGCTAGAGGTGCTGTTAAGAGCAGACACCACTAGCACTCGGGGAGGGGCTCCATCTATTGGTGGGGAGCATCACCTGCTGGAAAACGGGTCCAGCGTCCCATTTCAATTTGAACATAAGATGAGTACAGGCTGAATCAAGAGGAGAACCCACCAATATATTGAAGTCCGGATGTATCCGAACTTGGTTGGTGAGCCCGCTATTCGATTCGAAGGAAGCCGAACCCACCAATAGATTGAAGTCCGTCGGCATCCGGACTTGGTTGGTGAGCGCCGCTCTTGTAGCTTGACCAAGTGGACTGCATGTGGACTGCATGTGTGCTGAACCCGATAGTCCCACAAGGACCCCTTGTGGTCCTGCTGTTCTGTTCTCACTGAGTCTGACGTGCCGGTAGTGAGATGGCGCAAAAATAAAGGTGAGACTCCGGTTTCTACACGAGGGACTGGAAAAGGGGGTTGAAAAAACTGGCCCGCGTCACAGGGGGACCTTTTGGCGTGGAATAAATTTGTGTGTTACGGAATGGGCACCCATTCACTCCTGTTCGTTTTTTTTTTTTTTTTTTTTTAAACTCAGGAGAGAGGATGTCAGCCAGCCCTGTTAGCATTCATGGATTGCCGTCTTGTGGCCCTGAGCCAATGCCTGACGTCCTAGGCATCTCCAACTGAAGTTGTGTGTTGTGGGAGATGTGCAGATGTCTGTTATGCGAGAGGACAAGAAAGCCCTGCCCTGCTCGCAGAAGCTGGCAATGATAGCCATTCGGGCAGCATGGATTGAGGCTGGCCGCCCCCGGGCGGTAATTGGTAACCCTTCTGGAAAGAGACATCTGGTAGATCGGTATCGCGAATTCCAAAGGTTAGCACTAATGAAGACCCGGATTGAAGATAACAGGAAGCTGGCCAGGAGTGAGGACAAGAAAATAGTGCCGGACAAGAAAATAGTGCCCAAGTGGACAGAACGTCTGCGACCATGGCTTTCGTTGGCTACCTCGTCTGATGAAGTGTGGAGGCTAGCAATGCAGTTTTATGAGCGTTGGGAGAGCGGGTGTCTGCTTGCCACTGATGGCGTCATGCACAAGAACAAGAAGAAGCGGTCCATTTTCCCAGATGTGGACCCCCCTATGGACAAGAAGGATAAGGCAAGCGAAGAGGGTGACCAGTTTGTGGCAGTAAGGAACCCCGCTGTAAGCTGCTGGAGGCAAATGGGCGGCCTCACGGATGACGAAAAAGCTCGTGTTCTACGGAAAGTTCTGTCCTTGGAGGTCGTCTGGGTTAAGACGGCCAGTGAGGCGCTGAAGAGCCAGAGGAAGCTTTCAGGGATTAGGGAAGCGGTTTTTATTGAAAAGTGTGACCGCATGATGCTTCGTCTGTTCCACTACATCAAGTTTGATCATGAGAATAGGCCTGAGGAAGAGTGGGAGAAGGATTCACCGTTCTTTCGGCCACTGACTGATGTTTTCGAGGAATTTGAAAAGCTCGGTCTAGATCAAGAGCGCTGGACTGGTTGGAGAAGCTATTTCACAGATCATTCTTATGTGAACCTGTGCCCTCAATTGCTGGGAGGTAAGTCAGACAACAATCTCAAACGCACGAAAAAGCTCATCGAGGATAGCCGGTATCCTTTGGAGTTTGACGAAGGTGTGAGGTCGGTTTTGGAGAATCAGCACGATGAGGTGTCTCACATGTGACATACGAGCTTACGTGCACGAACTGCTTTCGAAGCCCCTCTCGGTTTTGCGATTATGGACCCCATCGTGCATCACTGCTCCAAATCCGGTTCCAGTTCCTCTATCCGGTCCAAATCGAATTCCCGCCCAATTAATATCATTGATGTCTTGATAGTCTTCAAGTTTTGACTCTGTGATAATACAATTACCATTACAGGATCCACTGGCTTTTGAACTCAAGGCTCCCCAGGAGAGGTACCTTGAGCTCAAGTGCTAATTTGCCCCGGCCGCACTTGAGTTTCTGAGGGCTGGCACTAGAGAGCCGGAAAGTAGAAACAAGCACTTGAGTTTCGAGGGCTGGTACTAGAGAGCCGGAAAGTAGAAACAAGCACTTGAGTTTCGAGGGCTGGCACTAGAGAGCCGGAAAGTAGAAAAACAACTCCGCGGCCAGGTTAGGGTGGGGTCGAACGAAGAATTTTCCTTCGACCATTGAGTTCAAGTGGTGTCGAAGGAGGCCCTATGGAGACCATAACATTGTAATAAAGGCATTTCCCAGTTGTAATTTTTCCCAACAACATGAAAAATCTTTTTCCTTTTTTTTTTTTCTTTTTTTTTTTTTGGCCATGATACAGTTTGCACTATGGGCCAAGATACAGTTTGCAAGTGCAGTTCACACAATGTATACCACCCAGCTTTCTGGCCAGGTAAGGTGCCCCAAAGTGCAATTGCAAACTGTATCTTGCCCCATGGTGCAATTACAAGTCGTTTTTGTGACTCCACTGCAGTTACCCCAAAATCTTATATGTGCAGCCGAAAGAGTTGATAATGGTAATTCCTTCCTTTTCCAAGTTTCC